CCTCCGCCCCTCCATCTCCCTCTTTCCCTCTATATGCACAAGCGCCGACACTGCGACCCTCTCGTTCCCTGGTGGTTTGTTTGTCTGTCTGTCTGTTGTTTCGGTCTGTTTGTCTGTTTCTGTCCCTGTTTCTCCTTCTTTCTCTCATTTCTTTTCTCTTTCTAGATGTTTCTCTGTCCTTTTTGTTAATTCACTTATCACTGCACTATTCGACACTGTAAGATCCACGACGAAAATTCAAATTCGTTAACTACACGCTTACATTAAAGTACAAAAAAGTGAAGATACGAGTGACGTAGGAAACACGCTATCGACAAGACCTCCAGCCGTTGGCTTCGCGTCGGCTTGCCCCCTTCTCTGCATCCCGCCCGCGTTACCCTTCGTATCAAATTCCATTCCTCGGCTAACGTAAGGTCATCAGTAATTTTGGTTTTAAGTGAATGAGAATAATATTTACAATACAATTTTCTTTTCTCATTCATACCTTTTCTACATTAGTTACAACAAATACAATTCAAGAATATATATATCTATATCTATGTCTATACCTAATTATCAGTAGATGTACCTAATATGATATTATTCAAATGTACATAACATCTTTACTAATGTTTACGTGGAACCCAGACTAAGTATTTTTATTCATGAAAAAAATATTTTTTAATAACATTTGTTATCATTCTTTACAGCATTTTTTATGCTTAAGAAAAAAGACAGTCGGCAATGGTCGCCTTCCAGGAACGTAAGATTTAAAACCTGGTCAAGAAGGTCAATACCCACCCTCTCAGCCGCATACCACCCGACCTCCTCGCCCCGTGCCCGTACGAACCCCAGCCGTGGTATGTTCCCAGGCTGCACGGGTACCGGTCCCAGGCCAAGTGCAACCGAAGTAAAATTCAAAGGCTTGAAAAGCTAACGAAAAGTAAAATCAACTTGGCCTTGGTGGCTTTGCTTTCTCTGGTTGTGTCCATACTTACTTTGGTTTACATTTCAGGATGGTTGAAGGGGAAGAGGAAGGCAGCCGCCGCCCGTCGGGAGCAAGAGCTGCAGGCGCAGCTGGCAGCTGCAACGCGTCGCGGAAACGATCTGCAGGCGCAGTTAGATGGCCTTACTGCGCAGCTGGAAGCTGCAACGCGTCGCGCAAGGATCTGGAAGCGCAGTCAGAACTGCGCAGCTTAGGATCTGGAAAAGCTTTTTCGCCTTACTGCGCAGCTGGAAGCTGCAACGCGTCGCGGCAAGGATCTGGAAGCGCAGTCAGATGGCCTTACTGCAGCTGGAAGCTGCAACGCGTCGCGGCAAGGATCTGGAAGCGCAGTCAGATGGCCTTACTGCGCAGCTGGAAGCTGCAACGCGTCGCGGCAAGGATCTGGAAGCGCAGTCAGATGGCCTTACTGCGCAGCTGGAAGCTGCAACGCGTCGCGGCAAAGGATCTGGAAGCGCAAGATCTTTGGCCTTACTGCGCAGCTGGAAGCTGCAACGCGTCGCGGCAAGGATCTGGAAGCGCAGTCAGATGGCCTTACTGCGCAGCTGGAAGCTGCAATCGCGGCAAGGATCTGGAAGCGCAGTCAGATGGCCTTACTGCGCAGCTGGAAGCTGCAACGCGTCGCGGCAAGGATCTGGAAGCGCAGTCAGATGGCCTTACTGCGCAGCTGGAAGCTGCAACGCGTCGCGGCAAGGATCTGGAAGCGCAGTCAGATGGCCTTACTGCGCAGCTGGAAGCTGCAACGCGTCGCGGCAAGGATCTGGAAGCGCAGTCAGATGGCCTTACTGCGCAGCTGGAAGCTGCAACGCGTCGCGGCAAGGATCTGGAAGCGCAGTCAGATGGCCTTACTGCGCAGCTGGAAGCTGCAACGCGTCGCGGCAAGGATCTGGAAGCGCAGTCAGATGGCCTTACTGCGCAGCTGGAAGCTGCAACGCGTCGCGGCAAGGATCTGGAAGCGCAGTCAGATGGCCTTACTGCGCAGCTGGAAGCTGCAACGCGTCGCGTCGACGAGCTGGAGGCCGAGTCGTCGTCCTCCACTACACCCACTGACATCTCTGCTGAGGAAAAATAGAGAAATAGGCAGAGGGTGAAACAGCAAAAGAGGAGACAGAGACAGAGGGAGAGACGACATTCTGACATCTCCTCCTGTTCTCCTACTCCCCCACTTCCCACTGACGGCATGAGACGGCATTCTGTAGATGAGAATGCCTCTGACATCTCCAGTTCTCCTACTCCCCCACTTCCCACTGACGGCATGAGACGGCATTCTGTAGATGAGAATGCCATCTCCTGACTGACGGCGGCATTCTGTAGATGAGAATGCCATCTCCTCCTGTTCCACTCCCCTTCCCTCTGACGATAAAACGAAACGACGCAGAAGGAGACAGAGACAGAAGGAGAGACAGAGGCATTCTGTAGATGAGAATGCCATCTCCTGTTCTCCTACTCCCCCACTTCCCACTGACGGCATGAGACGGCATTCTGTAGATGAGAATGCCATCTCCTCCTGTTCCACTCCCCTTCCCTCTGACGATAAAACGAAACGACGCAGAAGGAGACAGAGACAGAAGGAGAGACAGAGGCATTCTGTAGATGAGAATGCCATCTCCTGTTCTCCTACTCCCCCACTTCCCACTGACGGCATGAGACGGCATTCCTTCACCATTCCCCCTCCCTTCCCCGGCCTTCCCTTCCTCCTCTCTGGCATCATTAACTCTGCCCAGGAAAAAAATAGAAATACAGTGATACAGCAAAATGGGAGACAGAGACAGAGGGAGGAGAGACGACATTCTCCTGTTCCCTCTGACGATAAAACGAGACATCTCTGACATCTGTTCTCCTTCTGGCATCACTGTCCAAGAAAAATAACAGACGTCAGAAAAGGAGGAGAGACAAAGGGAAAATAAGCTAAAACCTAGGACAAATAACCTAGGCAATGATAGCAAATAATAACCTACTAAAGATGTAAACAGTGATGTCCAAATCTATAGACAAATGATGTGTCTAAGCTACATAGACAACCTATAGAGAGAAGAGATGACAACGGAAGGAGGGAAGAGATAGAGAAGAACAAAACGAGGTGAGAAAAAAAATAATGGAGAACCTTATAATGAGAGAGAGAGAAAGACGGTTTGTGTGAGGGAGAGAGAATGAATGAGATAGAGGGAGAAACCTGAAATATTTCTCTCTGGAAATTGATGATGATAAAAAGGCACACACACATAATCTTTATCATATATTATGAGACTAAAAAAAAAGCAAAATCTGTGTGTGTGTGTGTGTGCCTCTATTTCTTTCTTAATTATGGAGAGAGAATGATGATAAAACATAGGAACAGCCGTCGAGAATGACAGGTAAAACAAGCGAGGAAGGAGAAACGAAAAAAAATATATATATATATATATAAAATATATATAATAATATTAGCTCTCTCTCTCTCTCTCTCTCTCTCTCTCTCTCTCTCTCTCTCTCTCTCTCTCTCTCTCTCTCTCTCTCTCTCTCTCTCTCTCTCTCTCTCTCTCTCTCTCTCCTCAGGTGTCATCGTTGAGTCGCATCTCTTTCAACACCATGATTTACATCGTTTTAAAACTGTGTGAAGGAGGAAGCCAAGCAAAGTTTTAAGATTAATTTTCATATATAGTTATTGTAAGTTTTAAGCTCTTATTTTATGTTTTCGTCTTTGTTGTGTTTTTTTGTTTTCATTTGTTTATTCATTTTCATCGTTTACTATTCGTACATCAGCATTTTGGAAATAGATATAATTGGAAAGGTAATGAAAGGAAACAATATGGTATTATACGAGTGTATTAAGTATCTGTCATTAGTATTATTATCATTGTTGTACTATTCGCTTAAATTATAATACCATATATATTTATTCTTTTATTTAAAATGTAATACTGCCTATCTATGTCAACCATTACAAACAGCTAAGTAGACGTAAGCCTGAAAAAAAAAATCTGGCGCCATTTTGAGTTAACGTCCGATAGCAAAATATTCACTCCCGTTATATGTCATTTAGTAAATTCTTTATGTATGGATCGAAGCTTTGTAAATTGTTTATAAGCACGTAAAAAAAGGGAGAGAGAGAGGTGGGGGAGAGAGAGAGAGAAAGAGAAAGAGAGAGAAAGGGAGAGAGAGAGAAGAGAGAAAGAGAGAGAGAGAGATAGAGAGAGAGAGAGAGAGAGCGAGCGATAGAGAAAGACAAAGAGAGAGAGGGAGAGGGAGAGAGAGTCGTTTGGAATTTGTACATATGTACATTTCAATAGTCGAGATACAACAATAGCAATGAACGTTCAAAAACAATAAAATAAACAAAGATGGCAAAAAAAAAAATCAGAATATTAGCATAACAACTAACTTCGTCATCGGCAACATTTTTATGTTAATTTGTAAAATAGATGATTATAGAAAAATAATGACAATAATGATATAACAATGGATCAGATGTTATGAAAATGGTATCACGTATAGAAATGAAACCACCTTTAAATTCATAGAAAAATTGTGTTAATAGATCATCACTTAAAGTCTGAAAAGGACGAAGATGCAGTATTATAATTTAGAAAAAATATTTAGATATTTGTGCCGCCTAGATCTTTCGGCCGTTTCTTGTTGCGTGAAAAAAATATATTTTCATTTTTTTCGTGTTGTTTATAGTTAAATTCCAAATTCAAAGTTATATTATTTAACATAATTCTAACACGTGTAAATGATTGTTTGTCTGGAAATTTACGCGCGAAATATATTTCCCTCCTAAACCCTTCCACTTTCAAAAAGCTTTCATATCCGAAACGAGTACCAAGAGTGTATTTCGAAACAAAATTCGAGATATCTATATATATCACTAATTAATACATTCATCCCACTCATTTCTAAACGCATATCTACCTAGATAGAAATTTATGGACTTTTCACTCATTTGCGAATTCTCAGATTTGTACTTTGGTGTTGACAAAAGAGGTGAGAAGAGAGACAACCTGGCAAATTATCGCTTAATTTACTCTTCTCGTCCTTT